TGTTGTGTAATGTGGCCAAATGTGTTTCAAATGCAATAGAAATAGAGTCTTCCACAAACACTTCCACAAATGGCTTCCAACTAGCTGTGAACCAGTGGGAAACCGTGGTATGAAGTTATCCACAAGATAAGGCAAACAATAATTTTTTTTATGTGCCTGTTATAGAGACAGGCAGGTGGGTTGAGGGAAACTGTGGACAATGGTGGAAGAAGGGTATACTGGTGAGGGATTGGTGTTGGAACATTGTGTGCCTGAAACTCAACCATGAGCAACTTTTTAAAATTATAGTGAGGCAGCGAAAATTGTTTTTAAGCAAAAGAGGTGACTTTGACCTTCCATCTATTTTTCCCACTTTTTCCGTTTGCTTGTTTTACTGGGCCACACCTGACTATACTCAGGGCTTATTCCTGGCCATGAACTCAGGAATCACTCCTGGTGGAGCTCAGGACACCCTTACTGGTGTCTCGGATCTGACAGCCATACTATCACTCTGGCCTTTCTCCCTGACCCCTCACCCACCTTTTAAAGAGGTTCTCTCCGATCTATATGTGTTTTTTTTTTTTAAAGCATGTAAGACATAGCTTTCTTAGAAAAGGGAGAAAGAGAAGGTCCCAAACTGTTGTAGAGACATTCTAGCCTGTTTGCTGTTCGCTTGTCCGCGAGGCTTATTCTTGGAGTGAGCAGGACTTATTCTGTTAGAGGGACAAATTGCTCTCCCATAGTTGCCAAAAGAGTGCATATGAGACCCGACAGGTTTCAACGACATAGCCTAAAGGAGAAACTTTATTTTCAGTGTAGTATAGTGAGGATGTAAAGGGGATTTACCAAGATGAAAGAGTGGAGAAACATACCAACACTGAAGAAAAAAGGCAAATCAGTGAAAGGACGTACCAAATTTTGAGGGTTTTATTTTGTTTTATGGGGATAAGATTTCATAACTTTTTAGAGTGGAATTTTATATCTACCTCCTGAGAAGTGAATTTGTTACTTATTTCAGGGGATTTTATTTCTTCCCCTTTCTTAGATTTAGAAAGTGTCTTTCTGTAAGGTAAGGAGGAGTTACTGTAAATGCATAGATCTATTTACCCTCTTTTTGGCTAAGAAATTTGCCATTAAACATGCTGTTTCTGCTTCCTTATTTTGTACCAAGTAAATGTTTAAATATTTTTAAATAAACATGTTTCAACTGACTGCTGGGTGAGATTCATTACCGTTAGGAGGAACTCAGGGAACTGTTCAAGGAGATCTGTTTAATATCCCCATGATTTATGCTTGTGGTGAAAATTGCACTAATATTTACATGAAGGGCATGGTTTGGGGCAATGGCATGTCCCGATTGAAGTGGGAATTTGCACAGTCAATGCCCACTAATGAAAACAGCTACAGTTCAGTGCCCTTCCAAAAGCATAATTAGGCCCTTCAAATGACATATTATTTTCACATTTTTTATTTGTAAGCTGCAAACTATTTCTTGTCATTCAATACCTTCTTTGATACCTTCTTAGTTACTTTGAAAATGTAACTAAGCAAGATAACACTAGGCTGCTAAATAAGTTCTACAAATATGTTTTTTGTGTGTGTGTGTTTCTTTTATAAATTCTATCATTGGAAAGAGATGTTTTTTTGATGGTTGTATTAAAAAACAACAAAAAAATCTATGAGTTACCTTAATAGTGCCTGAGTAGCATTGTCAAACTGTGCTTCTTGGCTTTCGAAATGCTTGCATGGAGTTCCCCTTGGATGGAGAAGAACATTCAAACCAAAAGTTACAATGAAAATACAGTTGTGCACACGTCCTTATGGATTTCCTCACTTATATGTTTAGTGAGCCAGTGAGAAATCTCTAACACAAGGTTTGCTAGGATTTTACTCTTCCTTTGTTCTTACTTTCCCAGAGTAATGGTTCTCTGATTTTTTTCAGGAAGCAGAACATCCTGAAAGCCAAGGAGCTCTTCACATTACAAGATCAAAGATTTCAGTCCAATTTAAGTCTGATTCCCAAATTCTGATGTAATACCAAAAAAAAAAAAGGAATAATCTGTGTATCTATCTCTAGATACCACTATCTACATAACTATTTATACATTTTAACTTTTATTTTCCAAGAATATTCAGAGTTGGCATTGTAAATCACACTTCCTTGATCTTACATTTATAAACAAAACAAGGCTGTTTCCTGGTTTCTAATTAGGAGTGTTTCCATCTTTTCCTGTTAGTATTTGTTACTTATTCACTCACTTTTAGACTCAGTAGATAAAATGCCACGGCTGTTGTTTAAAAAAAAAAATGCATAAGAAAACTAAAACATATTTTGAGTGGAGTCGTACCTGGCAATGTTCAGCACTGACTCCTGGCTCTGTGTTCAAAGATAAACTTCTGACAGTGCTCAGGGTATGATATAATATATATAGTGCTGGGGATCAAACCCTGGGTGCAAGGTGCAAAGAAAGCACCTTAGCCCTGAAAAGATTGCTAACTGTACTCTCTCTCTCTCTCTCTCTCTCTCTCTCTCTCTCTCGTCACACCCAGCAGTGCTCAAGTGCACAGGACTTATTTCTGGTTCTGTGTTCTGGGATCATTCCTGCTGGTGCTTGAGGTACCATATGGGATACTGGGCGTGAGCCACTGGCCAGGAAAGTGCCTAACCGGATGCACTAGCTCTCTAGCTCCAAAGCAAAATAGTCTTATTTAAAGACATTTACTTAGAGAAATGTAAGGAGGGAGGAAGAGAGGGAGGGGGGTGAAGGAGAGAGAGAGGAGAGAGAGAGAGAGAAAGGGAGGGAAAGAGAAGAGGAGAGAGAGAGAGAGAGAGAGAGAGAGACTTCTCCAGATTGGAAAAAAATCAAAGTTCAAAATTTTAAAGATTCTGTCCACTTGTTTTAGATTTTTTGAGAGTTGGGAAAGTTACATTACTTGATATTAACACAGAAGGTGTTAGTTCAACTTCTAATCCAGCAATAATAGACTTGAACATAGCTTGCAAACTGTCACTCTAATTTGAAATGAGAACTCATTAAAATATCTAATTACTACTCAGAAGATAGAAAGAGGGTGCAAATATAGCCAAGGTTAACTTGAAGGCTAGGGATCAAATGGAGGCCTCCCACCTGCAAAGCAAGTGTTCCAGCCCTTTGAGCTATCTCTCCTGCCAGCCCTTATTTGTTAATTTATTTTAATAAGTGCCAGGCACTATTCCATGCCCTGTGGGTAGAACATGAGTGAAAAAAGCTCCTTGTGCTGCTCCAGTTTATCAATCTTCTCAGAGTTACAATTTTATAAATCTCTGTCCCAATGGCTAGACCAAGCACAACAGGCCAAACTTCTGCTTTGCAAGCGGAAGTGTCAGGTTTGATTCCCAGCACCACATGGTCCCCCAGGCACTGTCAAGAGAAGATCCCCCCCCAACCCTGACACCCCCTCCTCCCCCCCACCACCTCTGAACCTCTACACAGGATCCCCAAACAATAAAACAAAACAAAACCTATCTCTGCTCCAGTCCTTACAAGCGCTCTGACCTTGGACAGATTATACAATCTTTGTGGGTCTCAGTTTCTTTATCGATAAAGTGTACATGATAACAGTTTCCACCTTATAGTGATATTAAGTACTGTGATAAGATAGCCACGAGTTAATACTTTTAAGATTCTTGGAACAGTAGGGGCCAGAGAGATAGTACAGAGGGTAGGGTGTTTGCCTTGCATGTAGTCTAGTCAGGTTCGATACCCAGCATCCCATATGCATCTCTCCTAAGCACCACCAGGGGCATTTCCTGAATGCAGAGCAAAGAATAACCCCTGAGCATTGCCAGGTATAACCCCCCCCCCCCCCCAAAAAAAATAAAAAGTTAAAAAAAAGAATTTTTAGAACATTACCCAGCTACATGCATGTTCAGCTTCAAGATTATTGTGGACACACATGAAGTTTTTTCTCTTGCCAGGTGCTTTCATAGGATACACACATGTGGTGGTAATAAGGCGCGTGGAGAAAAAGAAAACTGGGTAAGGTAACTAGAAAAAGACTAGAAAAAGGTCCTAATTTGTGGGTGTGAGGTGGTTAGTCACTTTATAGAGAAGGGTTTTGAGTGATGGTGTGATTTATAAGATAACTGGTAGAAGTGAGAAACCAGATCTTGTGGTCTCCTCGGCACCACATAAGATCCCTTAAGCACGTCAGGACTGATCCCTGAGCAGAGAATCGGGATTGAGTCCTGAGAACTGCTAGGTGAAGAAGGAGGAAATGAAGGGAAAAAAGGAAGGAGGGAAGAAGAAGAGAAAGAAAAAGAGGAAGGAAGGGAGGGAGGGAGGGAGGGAGGGAGGGAGGGAGGGAGGGAGGGAGGGAAATATGGAAGTTAACAAATAAACTGCATTACTGGTAGAAGTGCAGATGTTAGATTCTGCTTTAGGTTCCTAGGTGAACTTGCTAGCACTCGACTTCAGTATCTGTCAGAAAGAATGAAAGCATCATTTCTTAATTTCTCCCTTACCTAATGGTGGGAGAGTAAAGGAGAGTTCTTGCTTCCTGCTGATTGCTCCCTCCTAAAGGGATGAGTACTGAAGCCCTCTTTTCTGTCACACACTTATCAGTCAGATTAGCCAATCCATCTTCCCAGAAATGTGCCTGGGCATTCTGATCCCCCATGGAACCCAAGAGAAGGAAGAATGCAGTTCCTTAGAGCAAGTGAAATACACGCTACAGAAGAATTTGAAGAGTTTAGCAAATGCTCTGATTCATATTTTTAAAGGATTCCTCTCCTTTCCTTTCCAGTTCTGTCTTTGCACCCCTTCTCTGGTTCCACATCTGAGAGGGAGTAAGACTGGACTGCATGCTGATATCTTTGCTGTGGGATCGAATCAGGGCCTCCCACATGCAAGGCCTATGCTCTACCACTAGCGCAGTTACATCTGAAAGTATAGTGGGCATCAAATTTTGGAATGCCTATGATAAATGTATGAAACAGGTATTATGTAAAAGTAATATATATATATATATATATATTTCTTTAATGTGGCAGAGTAGAGACAGCCTCAAGCAAAACAAACGGAAATGTCCCATCTGGTTTTACCCACTGCTGGTACTGTCACACCATCTGTCCCCACACCAGGACAAAGCATCAAGGAATGGCAAAGATTTGAGTGTGTTTGTTTCATTTTTCAATAGTGTTATCAATTATAAGCAATCTAAAATTAATTTCCTAGACCTTTAAAATGCCAGTATATTTTAAAGTAGAAGTAAAACCTTCAGGCACATTAGAATCACAAGAAGGTCTAACAATGTTATTATTTCTTTATGTTACTCAGTATCTCTTTTAAGTAAAACAACATTTTTCTCTGGATTCCAAAAGGGATTTGTAGAATTGTTACCTTCTGTCAAGAGATTTTATTATTGCAGATAATAATGAGGTTGACAATATAGACCCTGGAGGGCAAGTAAAAGGCCACAATTCACCATTATTCATGAGAGGAATGAGTAGGAGGCAGGTGGGGAGGGCCTCTTTCAAATTTAATTTAAATAACTGATAGTAAGTAAACACCTTTGTATGTACAGGACTGACTGAAATCAGTTCTGAGGAAAAGCAAAATGCAAAAACTTCCTCCTAACTCCACTTTGGCAGCCAAGAAAATTCTCATCAGAAAAGCTTTTGGGGGGTAGTGGGGAGCTGGAAGGAGGGCGTTTGCCTTGCATGCAGCCTACCTGGGTCCAATTCCCAGCATCCCATATGGTCTCCTGAGCACCGCCAGGAGTAATTCCTGATGCAGAGCCCGGAGTAATCCCTGTGCATCTCCAGGTGTGACCCAAAAAGAGAGAAAAAAAAATTCTTTTTAGAGTAGTAAGGATGGGAGAAGAGCTGAAGAGTAAGAGTAAGGCTGATGGTGGTAGATGAATTTTTCTCCAAATGGAGGCAGCAGTTCCAAAAATGTAATCTGAAGGTTGAGCCAGATGTTTGAATCAGGCACTTACACCTTAAAGAGCTTTAAAAAATGTACACTCGCAATCTTCTTTAGCATTCTGCACAGATAGTCTAATTTACAAGTTGAATTTATGGGCTCCTGCAGCACAGGAGAGTTTTTGATCTTTGTATATGAGTTGTTCTTGGATCCCTACTGGAAAACTGGCCAGAATTATTCAAATAAAAAAATCCAGATAACTCAGCTATTTAATGTCTGTAATGAAATGTTTGTGCTGTAAATTTTAATAATGCAATTCTGCAATTCTAAGGAAATGGCTTGTAGAAAGGATTTCCTCCCAGACCTCTTCCTTGAAACTTTGTCCTGTTATCCAGAGGCGAAGAAAAAGAAGCAAATACTTACCAGCATATATGAAGGAGAAACAACAAAAACCTTCCCAGGTTACACTCCTATGTGCTGGGAGGGTAGGGGATAGGTAATTTCTGCAGGACCCAAATTTTCAGGAACTCAAACATTTAATTTTATTTAAAAAAAAAGTTAGGAATTCTTGACTGGGAGAGATAATACAAAGTCTAAAACTGCCTCTAAATTTCAGTAACCAGTTTATTGATAACAGTCCATGTTTTAAAAGATGAATCTTCTGACTTTGGGGCATGAATGTGACTGACAAATCATTTCTCTCTCTAACTTAGCAAGGAGTGACTTGGCACCCTGGCAGATGAGTTGGCAAGAAAGGAGCCATCAAGTGTGGTATCAGAGACTGACCCAGACACCCTGGGGCAATGTGATTTGTCACTTAAAGAGGAGGTCTCCCGACTGCTGAGTCATCCTCCTCTGGATGCTATTTAAACAGAAGACTCCAGCACACGCAGAGTCAACACTTCACTCGACAATGCCCAGACCTCCAGAAAGAAATCGAGCCTGGATTACTTACTGGCAACAAGTGCAATTTTAAAGACAGTACCCACCCTCTTTCCCGTATTGTCACATTACGGATTTGGACTCCAGAACCCTGTCCTCAAAACAGCTTATCTGGAGAGTTTTCCCAGGAGCCCTTGGCCAGAAGTGACCAATTCTGCCATGAGTTTTCTTAGCTTTTATTTATTTATTTATTTATTTATTTATTTATTTATTTATTCTTGGTGGAGGTGGGGTGAGTGGTGGTGCGGAGGGGTTTGGGGCCATACCCAGGAATGCTCAGGGCTTAGTCCTGGCTCTGCACTCCAGGGATCATGCCTGGAGGGGTTCAGGGTACCATCCGCCATGCTGGGATTTCAATCCTGGTCCACCCTGTGTAAATCAAGCACTTACCCACTGTACTCTCTCTCCAGCCCTTTTAGTTATTTTCACATGAGTCTCTTATAATTTTTTTCATGGCAACACACACTGATGACTTCCTCTTCTGGCTTAGGCACCAAGATAAGGGTAAGTGTTGGTTAAAGGAGAAGTAACGTATCTTGCCTTGCTCAGTTTCAAAGTCGAATAAAGGAGCAACTGAAACTTACCATATGATGAATCTAAGAGAGGTAAGTACAAAGTGATGTTCTGGTCCTTCATTGGATCCCTAGGGGTACTAAAACCTTTCATTCTCTGTATATGACCCCTTTGATAGAAATGAAGGCATGTGGTGGGAAGCACCAAGAAGCTCTGGGAGGATGTATGTTTCAGAAGGTTTTCTTGTTTGTTTTGTTTTGAGGAGAGGCACATTCTGCAGTGCTCAGGGCTGGCTCTATAGCCAGGGGTTACACCTGGCTTTGTGCTCAGGGACCACACCTGGCAATACTCAGAGGACCATATGCAGTGCCAGAATTCAATCCATTGTCCAGGTAGCAGCTGCAGGCAAAATAAATACCTTAACCTCTGTAACATCTTTCTGGCTCCTAAAAGGGCTTTTATAATGGTGTATTCACATTTCCACCTGTCTGACAGTCATTGCCCTGTTTGACCTGGCCCTTCCGGCTGCTGCCTGTATGAGTGGTGTTGATGACTTTCCCTTGCCTTATCCTCTAGATGCTACTGTCAGTGTGTCAGATGAGGACTCCCTGAGCATTTGGATGCAATCCATCTGCACTATTATTTTGTCCATATGAGCTGACTGAGTGTTCAAAAACTGCTTCCTGGCTGGGTTTCTCCAACCCTCTGTTAAGGGTGCTATTCGGTATTACGTGTGCTGCAGGTGCTGTTGATGGAAGTGCTACAGGAGTGGGATGTGCCTGTTGTCTTTGGGAAGGAAAGGAATTAACATGCCCAGGCAGTTCTGTCCAAATCCTGTGCTGACCTTCCATGGAGAGGTAATGTAAGTAAAGCAAAAGTACACTGGCTTATGTGAAACCCCAAATGTAAGCTAGGAGTTTTCCTTGGTATTTTGTAAAAGCTTTACTTAGTTCCCATAGTAAGGTCATCCTTGAGTAGAATTCTGCTTCAGAGATGGAATATTCTACTTTAGAGACTTATCCAAGGTTAGACAGCTTTACATCTTTTTTCTGGAATCTGATCACTAGTCTATGCGACTTTGACTCTTCTGTCCTTTAAACTACTGGCAAAGCCCGCAGAAGGAACGGTGGAATACTAACATAGCAATAGCTTTCTGATTATGTTCTGATTATCACTCTTGAAGTGTGATAGGAATAAATAAAGGACATTGGGCCCCAGTTCCTGAATTTGCTGTGGAACATGAAATCAACTGGAACAATTGGAAGATTGCAGTGGTAGGAAGCAAGGAACACAAAGTAAAACCGAGTTTATTTGATTGAAGTATGAGTAAATATGTTTATATTTTCAGAACTTTTCACATTGAAGAAGAAAGTATTCACTGGACAAAGATGAGGGGAAAATGTCTGTTTTATGACTTGTTGATATCTATGGGGTATTTCTTTAAGCCTCAAAACAGTTTGCAGCATTGCCAGCAGCATTCAGAACATTCAGAACAGGATCATTTCACCCACAGCTGAACTAAGGCCATGTTTGGGACGACAAATGAGAATAGCCTCCCAGCAGACATGCCAGGGAGTAAGCCGGGGTCAGCAAGAGTGGAGGGGAGCAGGACCATTTAAAGCAACATGGTTTGTGCAATGGCAAGCTAACGGCTTCCACTGGAGATGGGTCAGCTTCTAGTCAAGAGAAGCAGGATCCTTAATGACCCAGGGAAACAGACTATGACTTTTTCTTCAATCTGCTTTGAGAATACGGATCCCTAATTAAATTGCGATGCTTGGATTCATTTTGGTCTGAGTTTTCCACTCCCTGCTTGCCTCTTTAGGGTTAATTTGCTCTACATGGCTTTCTTTCTGGTCGAACATGTTAAGCTAAACAGGATATATCATGTGACGGAGTGAGAGAAATTTATATTAGCAATAGGGGAAAAGTATGGGATAAAGAAATAGGTCTTTTTTGCCTCTGACAGTCATGATTCAGTTCTGACTCAAAAGGAAGTGTGCCACCTTCTGAATCACGGAAACCACTTCCTGTAGCTGTTTGGTTTATTCTGGAGAGGCATCAGGCCAAGGACTGCCCTGCCCTGACCCTGCCTGGCTCTTCAGAGCCAAGGCATTCACAGCTTGAGGTGGTTTGGCCTCAGACTCTGAGAACATAGCGTATCGAATTACAAGTGTTGCGTTTCCAAGCAAGGAGTCTTTAGCAACATGAAAACGACCACGGATTATTTGCAAACCAACCAATCATGACTCGACCTAAATATCCATACTTGTTCCTAAGGTACGTATTCTGGATGATCACTCTCAATATATACGGGTTCTGTTTTGCCTGCAGGTAACTTGGACAATCTGTAGGATAGCATTAGCCAGTTGAGGTTCAAGAGTAGTCTAGATCAGTGAAGTAACACTTGACTTGCACTCATTTAGTCTATGTTTCTGTGGGCCATGTTCTTAGTGCCTCTGCGAGGCAGGGTAGAGAATAAAGAGGTAAAGAAGATTGAAGTTCGACTGGTGAGATAGTAACAAGTAAGACAATTTCCTTTCATGCAGACTACCTGAGTTTAACGGTTGATAGCATGTAGGGATCCCCAAGCTTCATCAGGAGTGATCTTAGAGCACAGCGCCAGACGTGAATTCTAAGCACTTGCTGGGTGTAGCAAACAAACAAACCAATAAACCAAAACCTCCAAAATATCAAAACTGTATGTCACATGAAAACAAGCCAAAAAAAAAAGAGAGCCTGTGTGGCTTATGATCTCATGGTATATGTGTTTTAGCTTTTAGAAGTTATGGTCTC